TAACAATTTATCCTACAAAAGGTTCCATCAAAACCCTAGATAATAAATTAGCTATTCATAATAGTATGTAAAACTACAATACTAAAAGTCATAACCAACAATGAAAAAATAGGAAGAGGAAGGAAAAACTCGTAGAAGAATTCTCCGCCATGCTCCTATTGTGTCTCTGCCTCCTTAGGTCGAATCTGTGTCAAAAATCTGTCCAACCTCCTCAAAATACCGTGTTTCCATGTATATATACCAAGTAGGGTCGGGCCCAAATAATTATACCCTCTCCTACGCGAAAAAGGACAATTTTTCAGGTCTGGACGCTCGCGGTCGCGGTCGCGGTCCGGGCGCGGTATTTTCCCAGTGCACTGCCTCAGTCCGCGTCCAGGTCCGCAATTGCGGTTTCGATCGCATTTTTTACCCTATTACTTTTGGAATTTGGAAAAACATAAAACATGAAAGTTGTATCCCTTTGAGTTAGCTTTCCAACCATATATTATATAGCCCAAATGGAGTTAGGATCAAAGAGTTATGTCTATTTTACTAGACAGTGCACAATATACCTCCTCGAGTCTTCGTTTGTTCTTAAATATCAAATTTGACCCCTGAACACGATCCCGACTTAATTCCTTGGGCTTTTACTCAGACTTCAAAGCTCCAAATCACTTGACTTCATTCCATAACATCTATATAGCTCGGAAGCACTCCTACAAGGCATAAAATACACAGTTAGTGCAAAACACTAGCGATTAAAGCTCAAACTCAATTAATGTGCAGTGAATTAGAGTGTAATAAGTGACAAAAATACGCAATTATAGCCTATCATCAGTACCCGGCTGTCACTTGGGCCGACGTACATAATCGGTATCAATCGAAGATTAGAATCGAGGATAATCAACTGGGAATTCCTTCGGGGTCCGTTTATCCTAGCAGGCCCGTGGATTGTATCAAAAGGGACATCGATTGAGAGCCAAGGTCGAACAAAGATCGATATCAACCGTATAACGCAGATCGTAGGGGCAGCGGGTCCGGGCAAAGCTTCGTACGAATTGAGAGGAGAAACAATCTAGGTCAAAATTCACGGGGGGTTTGATGCCGAGGAAGATCACATTAAATATCCCAAATCCGAATAAAGGTATGACCCCAGTCCAATCCTTTCTATTTTTTCGACTAACACTTGCAGGTTTTCTTCAAGGATCGGCTGGAAGCTTTGAACCTTAAAGCACGCGTTGCACTCTTTTTCCCTTAGACCGGTTTTTGTCCCAAATGGGTTTTTCCGGCGAGGTTTTAACGAGGCAACCATTGTTCGTGTTAACTTAGAGAAATTCAACAGTATCCGAGGTTCCCTACAATAAGCCTCGAGTTCTGGAGGGCATTACCCTTGAATATCTACCTTGCTTCAAGGAAATCACTTCGTAGCTGCGGGTCTCGATAGGTAAATGTTGTAAGGGTTAAACAGTCAGATGAACCGTGCCCGTATAGGTTACTCGAGCCCTAACATCAAACATGCGCGTATGTATAATCATCTATTGAGAGAAGTATTTTTCCTTGCCGATATCTCATGTTTTAGAAAAATTTCCTACTTTATACTCTTGATCTATTGTGTAAACAGGCTTAAGGGCCGACCGAGATGGAAGTTCGAACAACTAACCCCGCACTTGAGGACTGCCTTCCGAAAAACAAACGGAATCAAACTACTAAAATTTCGAGACCATAAGACCTTAAAGGCGACCCTCGATTTTAAAGGCCATGGCCACCCCACTCGGGGACTGACACTTCGGGCAAGCTAGAAGTGAAACGTAAAATAAGCCCAAAGGGCGAGTTCTGAACTAAAAAGGCTACGACCAAATTAACGCGGGTCCGAGACGTCCGAAATCCGTAACAAATACAAAAACCCAAGGGCTATCTTAACACGAGTTCGAGCAAACTCTCACTCGGGGACTATCTATAAAGCCTAAGGGCTAAATTTACTTCGAGTTCGAGAAAATCCTCACTCGACTATAAAGACTAAGGGCTAACTTCACTTCGAGTTCGAGAAAGTCCTCACTCGATCATAAAAGCCCAAGGGCTATCTTAACTCGAGTTCGAGCGAACCTTCACTCGGGGACTATCTATAAAGCCTAAGGGCTAACTTTACTTCGAGTTCGAGCAAATCCTCACTCGCCTATAAAGCCTAAGGGCTAACTTCACTTCGAGTTCGAGCAAGTCCTCACTTGATCATAAAAGCCCAAGGGCTATCTTAACCCGAGTTCGAGCAAACCTTCACTTGGAACTATCTATAAAGCCTAAGGGCTAACTTTACTTCGAGTTCGAGCAAATCCTCACTCGACTATAAAGCCTAAGGGCTAACTTCACTTCGAGTTCGAGCAAGTCCTCACTAGATCATAAAAGCCCAAGGGCTATCTTAACCCGAGTTCGAGCCAACCTTCACTCGCGCACTATCTATAAAGCCTAAGGGCTAACTTTACTTCGAGTTCGACCAAATCCTCACTCGACTATAAAGCCTAAGGGCNGCGAGGTTTTTAATGAGGCAACCACTGTTCGTGCTAACTTATAAAAATTCAACAGTATCCGAGGTTCCCTATAATAATCGTTGAGTACTGGACGGGGGGGGGGGGATTACCCTCGAATGTCTACTTTGTTGCAAGGAAATTACTTCAGGACAACGGGGTCTCGATAGGAAAACGTTGTAAGGGTCAAATGGTCAACTGAATCGTGCCCATATAGATTACTCGAGCCCTAACATCAAACATTCATGCATGTATAATCATCTATTAAGAGGAGTACTTTTCCTTGCCGATATCTCATGCCTTTAGAAAAATTTCCTACTTCATACTCTTGATCTATTGTGTAAACAGGCTTAAGGGCCGATCATGATGGAAGTTCGAACAACTAACCCCACGCTTGAGGACTGCCGTTCGAAAAACAAATGAAATCGAGCTACTAAAATTTCGAGACCATAAGACCTTAAAGGCGACCCTTGATTTTACAGGCCACGGCCACCCCATTCGGGGGCTGACACTTCGGGCAAGCTCGAGGTGAAACGGAAAATAAGACCAAAGGGCAAGTTCCGAACTAAAGAGGCTATTGCAAAATTAACGCGGATCGGAGACGTCTAAAATCCGTAACAAATACAAAAGCCTAAGGGCTACTTCTTCTTCGAGTTCGAGCAAGTCCTCACTCGATCATAAAAGCCCAAGGGCTATCATAACCCGAGTTCGGGCAAACTGTCACTCAGGGACTATCTATAAAGCCTAAGGGCTAACTTTACTCCGAGTTCAAACAAATCCTCACTCGACTATAAAGCCTAAGGGATAACTTCACTTCGAGTTCGAGCAAGTCCTCACTCGATCATAAAAGCCCAAGGGCTATCTTAACCCGAGCTCGAGCGAACCTTCACTCGGGGACTATCTATAAAGCATAAGGGCTAACTTTACTTCGGGTTCGAGAAAATCCTCACTCGACTATAAAGCCTAAGGGCTAACATTACTTCGAGTTCGAGCAAATACTCACTCGACTACTAAGCCCAAGGGCTACCTTACCTCATCGACTATTGAGCTTAAGAGCTACTCAAATTCAATTTCAAATGGTCATTCAGGGTCCATTGATCAGAAACGTTCGAGGGCAGTACTTATTGTCGGTCATTACCATCTTAAACTTTGGACATTCAAAAGGAATTTTATGCTAAGGCGCTTTGACCCGCACAAAAAGGGTAACAGATTCAGAAGCCATGGAAGGAAAAAAGCTTTGTATAAACCTTTTTACAAGGGCTATAGGTCATGATCAAGAGTTCCTCGCAAGGGCCGATTAACCTCAAAAGCAAAAAATTGCGAAGAGCATGAAACCTAAGCGACACGATCCTTATCGACAGAAGTGTTTTCACCCTTAGAATCTTCTCCACCGCAGGACTCGCTAGAGTTCTCAGAGTCTTCCTCGGGAAATCCAAGCTTTTGTTTCCTCAGTCGCTTACGTGACGATGATGATGTAGTGGCGAATAGAGGTAAAGATCAAGGACTCAATTCATTTCTTGTCGTTATACTCCAAAAAATGAGGGGACTATCTATATACTGTAGAAATCGGGGGGCTACCCGATTTCGTAGGCTCGAGGGTCACTTCAAGAGCAAGTCCGAAATAGACTGGATTCGAGCCCGATGGCAGAGTTCGAAGTTCGAAGATCAAAGTGTTTGATGAATATCAAGGCCGAGCGTGACCACCCTCGAGATAATGCCGTTGTGGTTTTGTAACAGAAAAAGCAAGATTCCCGCAATGGCCCAAAAATTAAGGTGTAAATTCCGGAACGGATTTGTACGAACTCGTACTAGGCGGTTAGACAGCTGTCCAATTAGATTCCTTACTAAAACCGGAAATGTACCTTATTTAGGACTCCACTATTATATAAAGGGGAGCTCATTCATTTGTAAGATCATCAATCATTTGACAAAGAATATACTCTCTTACTTTTTGGCTCATATTTCATCAGAATCGCCTCTTTACTTAATTGTTCTTGCTTTACTGTTCTTAGCCAACCTCGAGGTCACCTTAGCTCGGTGTCTTGACTGTCTTACATTCTGGTTTGATTTTATCTATTTCCTTCATCCATACGTTAGTTTTCTTGATTATTAATTAGTATTGAACTAAATCACATATCTTTAATACCACAAATCAAATTTAATTATTACTCTATCAGACTCACAATTTTCTTTAATTAATACTCTAAGCTTTTTTTGTTAATATTTTAGAGTCTTTTCAGACAAATTATTCACATTCAATTCCATCTAGAAAAAATAATTACGTTTGAGAAGACTAAACATATTGATTGTGTAGTTGTGTAAGAAACAAATTCCTAGCTATATATCTATGTATAATTCATGAAATTAACCATAAAAAATCCAATAATCCAATATCTAAGCTTTTTTGTCTTAATTCTTTTATCCAAAATGGCACTTCAAACCTTCTTATTCTTCTTCTTTTCCCTTTTCTTTAATAATATTATCATTACTAACCAAACAGTCATGCCAAACTTTACTTCCATTTTAATATTTGGTGATTCCACAATGGATACAGGGAATAATAACTATATACTCACTTTAGTCAAAGCAAATCACTTACCCTATGGCAAAGATTATCCTAACAATGTCCCAACAGGAAGATTTTCAAATGGAAAACTTGTGCCAGACATGTTAGCTTTCTTACTAAATCTCAAACAAAATGGTGTTCCTCCATATTTACAGCCAAATTTATCAACAAATGAATTATGTACTGGAATTAATTTTGCATCAGCTGGATCAGGATATGATGAATTAACCAGTACTATTACTAGCACAATTCCAATAAGTAAACAGTTAGAATATTTTGAGGAATATTTGGAGAAAATTAAAGGGGTTGTAGGAGAGACAGAAGCTGAAAAAATAGTGAAAGGTGCTTTGGTTATTATTAGTTGTGGGACAAATGACTTAGTTTTTAACTTCTATGATATACCTACAAGAAGACTTCAGTTCAGTACTATTAATAAGTATCAAGATTTTTTGCTAGAAAAGCTGCAAAGTTTTGTCAAGGTTAGAACTACTTACTTTGTTCTTTGTCTTTCATCACTCTTTACTATGCATGTCTGTGATTTTCTCAGCATTTCTGAAAGGTTAAGACTTGTTTTTGTTGTCACTGCAGGTTGTGTTTTTGTCAAATTTCCTAAAGGATAATGGCTTAAGATCGTCTTATATATAGTTTTATGACCCGTTTTGTCATAGATTTTGCCAAAATATATTTGGGTTTTTTTTTTGGCAAATACATGTTTGGCGATAGATTTTATCTACATTTTGACAAATTCCACCTGAAATTTGTATTCTATTTTGGAACTTTGAATTAATTAATCAGTACTCCTATTTAATTGGTTAAATATAAAAGAATCTTGCTAGAGAATATGATTTTATTTCTTTTCTTCTAATTTTCTTTCCCACTTTTTGCTTATTTGTCTTTCACCAATTTTCCTTCTTTAATAACCTTTATTTTGTGTGGTAATTAGAACAAGAAAATGTTCTTCATTATTATGGGTCTATAGTCTAATCACATAGTCAACATTTGAAATGTTTTCAATCCGCATCAATTATTTACACCAAATGAAACAATTTAACCTTAGCAGTTAAACATTAAAATTGAGATACTTATCACCAACAGTATTCATTAAAGGGGTCAAAATATAAAAAAGGAAACCCACAAAAAAGTCAAGGGAATCAATATATAATATATATACATAAAAAAAAATTATCTAACTATATAATTTAATTTCCGATAAAGGGGTGCTGGTTGATACCCCTTAAATATATGTGGCTCCGCCGTTGTTTATCACTTAATCATGGTTTAAGAATAAATGTATGCATAAAAATAATGTCTTGTCTTGATTGTTTTGGTGCAAACTTTATTACGAGTAAGGTTTGACCATCAAACTAGCTAGAAGCATTGCAAATTAATTGTAGTTCTAATGTATCTAATTTTTTCAGGAACTTTATGATCTTGGATGCCGTATGATTGTACTGAATGGATTGCCTCCAATTGGTTGTCTTCCAATTCAAATGACTACAAAATCTCCACTTCTTAGAACTTGTATAGAGAATGAGAATTTTGATGCTCAACTTTATAATCAAAAGCTTAAGCAATTGTTACCTCAATTGCAAGCACAACTCCCTGGAAGCACAATATTATATGCAGACACATACAATCCACTATTAGACCTTATTAACAATCCACAACAATATGGTACGTACTGAGCTTTTAATCTTCAATTTATATGCAGTCTTTATTTTTGTTTTTCTTTCTCGTTAAAGTTGAGGGGAGCTTTGGAGCAACGGTAAAGTTATCCTCGTGACCATAGGTCGCGGTTCGAGCCGTAGAATCAGCCATTGATGCTTGTATTAGGGTAAGTTACCTACATCACATCCCCTTGGGGTGCGACCCTATAGGTCACGGGTTCGAGCCGTGGAACCAGCCACTGATACTTGCATTAGGGTAGGCTACCTACATCACATTCCCTTGGGGTGCGACCATATAGGTCACGGGTTTGAGCCGTAGAATCAGCCACTGATGCTTGCGTTAGGGTAGGTTACCTAAATCACATTCCCTTAGGGTGCGACTCTATAGGTCACGGGTTCGAGCCGTGGTATCAGCCAGTACTGATGCTTGCATTAGGGTAGGCTATCTACATCACATTCCCTTGGGGTGCGACCCTATAGGTAACGGGTTCGAGTCGTGGTATCAGCCACTGATACTTGTATCAGGGTAGGCCAGGCTACCTACATCACATTCCCTAAGGATACTGTCTTTCCCCGGACCCTGAATGAACGCGAGATACTTCGTACATCGGACTGCCTTTTTTCCTTATTAATCTAAATTTGCTCTATTACTTAATTGGAACAGGATTTGAGGAAACCAAAAGAGGATGTTGTGGAAGTGGATTACTTGAAGCTGGACCTTTGTGTACAAGTCTTTCACCAGTGTGTTCAAATACTTCACAATACGTATTTTTTGATAGTATTCATCCATCTGAAGCAACATACAATAAGCTTACTGAGTACTTAGTCAAGGACTTTCTCTCACAACTCTCAACCATTCGCAGTCCTTGATGTTTACAAACAGATCGTAAAATTGTATGCTGTTAGAACTATCATATTTTCACCAATATTGTAAAGAGAGAGAGAGAGAGTAGAGGGAGAGTAGGGGGGAGGGGAGGGGGGTAGCATTGAATTACCAAAAATTGGTGGTTTTTATAAAAGCTAGTCTTCTTTAACCAATTTAGAACTAAAAGTAAGTTGAAACATAAAAAATTTTGTGCTGAATCAATTTAGTTACAATTGTAGCAACGCTCAGCTTATTTTATGTAAATAACTTTAAAAACTTTTCAATCATTTTGACAGAGAAAACGTACATCAACTCTTTATATCATATTTAGTACTCTATCCAATTATGTAAGCGTTCATTTGTAAAGTACATATGATGTTTATTAGCTACTTTCAATTAATTAGCCAAAACGGGCTCAAAGTTGATATTTCAACACGAAAATTAATACTTAAAGAAAAGGGGGTTTGACACAGTTACCCACAAAAATAAAACTATTTATCCTTGTCTACGCATTTGTTTTTCTATCCATAAATTAATTCCATTTCCTACCCATAATAGTTTTGGTGGGGAATTTTTTCTTTATTCTCCAATTCTTTTTAATTTCTGTGCTTCTTTTCTTTTTTTTTTCTTTTCTCCTTTTCTTTTTTCTTCTTAATTTTTTCTTTTTTCCTTTTTTTCAATTTCATTTAACTTCTTTTTTTTTATATTCTTTTTCGCTTCATAATCTAATTTCATTTACTGTTTTTACTATTTTTTACTATTCTTTTTAAATATGGGGGAGTACAGTCCGGATATAAAGTCAACAATTTAAGTAAGAAACAGGGCAATAACAATAATTAATGAGAGCAGAAAAAAATCAATAGTTGCACGGCATCAACCTTCGTGCTTTTACTCTCATTCTCACCAAAAGCAATCAAATAAAGTGCACGGCATCACCCTTCGTGCTTTCCCTCACATAACTCTCATATCATGGCACGGAATGATCCTTCGTGCAATTATAATCAAATCAGAGCACGGAATGTCCCTTCGTGCAT